CGCTTCTATCGCCGGAAACCCGATACCCCGATATGGAGAAGCTTGCTTTGGCCTTAATCACGGCCTCTAGGAAATTGAGACCCTACTTTCAAGCTCATATCATCCATGTACTTACAAATTTTCCCCTGAGACAAGTACTCCAAAAGCCCGATGCCTCGGGAAGATTGTTGAAATGGGCAGTGGAACTAAGTGAATTTGACCTTATGTTCAAAGCTAGGGCAGCCATCAAGGGGCAAGCCTTAGCTGATTTTGTTGCTGAATTCACCAACCTACCCGAGGTGGATGAAATCATGGAATCCATCAAACCCCCCACGTGGAGCCTCTTCGTCGATGGCTCGACTAGGGAGGTCAGCTCAGGTGCCGGGGTTGTCCTCATCAGCCCCAAGGGTCACACGCTCACCTCGGCCGTGAGGTTCGGATTCAAAGCCACCAACAATGTTGCAGAGTATGAAGCACTCCTTGCAGGCCTCAGACTGGCCAAGGAAATGCAAGTAAAGAAGCTACTCGTCAGTAGTGACTCCTAGCTGGTTGTTAGCCAAGTCAATGGTAACTTCTCAGCCAAAGACAAAACGATGGCCTCCTATCTGAAAATGATGATGAACCTCATCCCATCCTTTGAAAAGTTCGAGTTAACCCAGATTCCCCGCATCGAAAATGCTCATGCGGATGCACTTTGGAAACTAGCTAGTAGCAAAGACTCAGAGCTACTCACTGTAGTGCCTATCAAGCACCTCCTCCTGCCTTCCACCGAGGCCCCTAATGTCATGTGGGTCGATGGAACTCCCACCTGGATGCAACCAATCATAGCATATCTGAAAGACCAGGTGTTGCCCACCAACAAGAATGAGGCTTATAAGCTGAGAAGGAGATCAGCCCACTTCCTCTTCATTGATAATATTCTCTACAAGAGAAGCTTCTCCTCTCCACTCTTACGATGCGTCAGAGGAGAAGAGGCTACCTACATACTAAGAGAAGTCCACGAGGGAGTGTGCGACAACCACTTTGGAGGCCTATCTCTGGCACAAAAAATACTGAGGCAAGGGTACTACTGGCCTACCCTGAAACGGGATGCCCTCGAATTCGTGCGAATATGTGATAAATGCCAACGATTCTCTCCCGTACAAAGACGACCATCACAGGATTTAACTGCAGTCTCCAGCCCCTGGCCTTTCTCAAAGTGGGGTGTGGACCTCATAGGCCCTCTACCTAAGAGTAGAGGAGGTGCAAGTTTTGCAATAGTGGCCATTGATTACTTCACAAAGTGGGTCAAAGCTGAACCACTGACAAAAATCACAGAAGCAAATACCTCCAAGTTCCTATGGAAGAATATTATTTGTCGGTTCGGAATTCCCTACTCGATCGTCTCAGACAATGGCAGGCAATTCGATAACAAGAAAGTTAGAGAACTGTGTGAAGAGCTAGGCATAAAGAAGCACTTCTCTACACCTCACCACCCACAAGCTAATGGCCAAGTTGAAACCGTAAACAAGACAATCAAGCACGTCCTGAAAAGGAAGCTTGATGTTCCAAGGGAGCTTGGGTTGATGAGCTGCCCCCAAGTACTTTGGGCAATCCGAACCGCCACCAGGACCCCAACCGGGGAGACCCCTTTTCTCATGGCATTTGGGACTGAGGCGATGAGCCCCTGGAAGTCGGACTTCCATCTCCACGACATCTGCACTTCAGCGAAGTGACCAACGACGAGCTCCGAAGGCTCGACCTTGATTTCATTGAGGAGAGAAGGGATGACTCCCAACTGAAGCTAGGCACCTTTCAAAGAAAGATGACAAGGTACTTCAACTCCAAAGTTAAGAAGAAGTCGTTCCGAATCAACGATTTTGTGCCCAGGAGGGTCTTCCTATCTTCAAAAGAACCTGGTTCCAGTTCCCTAGGCCCGAATTGGGAAGGTCCATACAAAATCAGAGAAGAAATCCGACCTGGAACCTACTGGATTGAAGACATGGACAGCAAGGCGCAACCCCGTCCATGGAACATTGAACACCTCAGAATCTATTATCAATGAATTGTACAATGCTGGATGACTTTCCCCAGCCTTTGTAATATTTCTATGGCTCAATAAAATGCATTGATTAAATCGTGTCGTACTGCGTCGTCGCCTCAGAGGAGAGGCTCGGGACCCACCTCTGGGCCACCTCGCTTGAACTCCGAGGCGCTAGCACATGCCTCCCTTTGGCCTTGCTGAATGCCAAGGGGAGAAGCCTCAATATGACTGCACCATCCACCATGTCTGGGATGCGTCGTCACCTCGGAGGAGAGGCTCGGGACCCACCTCTGAGCCACCTCGCTTGAACTCCGAGGCGCTAGCACATGCCTCCCTTTGGCCTTGCTGAACACCAAGGGGAGAAGTCTCAACATGGCTGCACTATCCACCATGTCTGGAATGCGTCTTCACCTCGGAGGAGAGGCTCGGGACCCACCTCTGGGCCACCTCGCTTGAACTCCGAGGCGCTAGCACATGCCTCCTTTTGGCCTTGCTGAACGCCAATGGGAGAAGCCTCAATATGGCTACACCATCCACCATGTCTGGGATGCGTCGTCACCTCGGAGGAGAGGCTCAGGACCCACCTCTGGGCCACCTCGCTTGAACTCCGAGGCGCTAGCACATGCCTCCCTTTGGCCTTGCTGAACGCCGAGGGGAGAAGCTACAACCGCTACAGTCCGAGGCTCATACAGTTCATCTCCTTAAGTTATGTTAATGTGCTTAAGTCCGAGGTTCACAAAACATCAAATCATTGGCACAGCAGCCAAGGCATAATCATTACCATTGGACCTCGGCTTCCGCTTCCTCTTCGCCATTCAGCAATCAAAGCGTCGCAGGTAAGGTTCCTCAACCACCTCGGCTTCTTCTTCTCCATTCAGCAATCAAGCCTCGCAGGTTCGGTTCCTCAACCACCTCGGCTTCCTCTTCACCATTCAGCAATCAAGCCTCGCAGGTTCGGTTCCTCAACCACCCCGACTTCCTCTTCGCCATTCAGCAATCAAAGCCTCGCAGGTTCGGTTCCTTAACCACCTCGGCTTCCTCTTCGCCATTCAGCAATCAAGCCTCACAGGTTCAACCACCTCGGCTTCCTCTTCGCCATTCAGCAATCAAGCCTCGCAGGTTCGGTTCCTCAACCACCTCGGCTTCCTCTTCGCCATTCAGCGATAAAGCCTCGCAGGTTCGGTTCCTCAACCACCTCGGCTTCCTCTTCGCCATTCAGCAATCAAGCCTCGCAGGTTCGGTTCCTCAACCACCTCGGCTTTCTCTTCGCCATTCAGCATCAAAGCCTCGCAGGTTCGGCTACTCAACCACCTCGGCTCATCTTCAGAGTTCAAACACCTCGCCTACTTCATTGCTCACCCACAGCAATACTTCTCAAACTCCAACCATGATATAAATATCTATACTTGGACTTGGGGGACTATTATTTGGGGTTCAAAAATTCTTTCAACTTTTACTCCATTAAAGTCCACGCATTACATTAATGATTATACTTGGACATGGGGGACTATTGTTGCGTATTGTCACACCTGTTCTACCCACTTGGGCCAATGGCCCACTCATCCTGATCCACGTGGCATTCCTGCCAAGGTGGCACACATTGCCGAGGTGGGATATATCCGAAGTGCTTCAAGCCGAGTTCCATCCGCCGAGGCTCCTTGATCCGATGTACACGAGTCTGCCGAAGTCCAACTACCGAGGCCCACGACCCGAAGCATGGTACCTGTTGAATGTAGCTGAGGTCCTCAAGTGGAAGTATTTGTCAAATGGTCGAAGCCCCAAAACTGATGCACGAGCCTCTTAACCACAAGGAGCTTCCTCCACAGTCACTTCTCCCAAGAGATCGCCTGCTCAGAGATCTTATTCGAATGACTGATGGAACGTTTGTCACAAGTATAAAGGTCAAGTCTTGTCGCTAGTATGGAGGACCTGCGCAAGCAATAAATGCACCGTAAGCTAGCAAGTCAAGCCCCATACCTAAGAAAAGACGTTTGAACTAAAGAGATGAGGCTACGTGCCACTTCATCCAAGGGCTCCCATTTCATATGTATCATTATAAATACTTCCATTGTGTAATGTCAAAGGCTAATGCAAGAATCAATACTAAAGACTACATTTTACTCAACTCTCTCTTATTTACTTGCAATACACAAATCGAGTTTATACACTTTTACATATATATCTACGAGCACCGGTTGGTAATTATTGTACAATCGGATTACGAACAACCCGTCGGATTCCGAACGTCACCGTCCCGCGTCGTTGGGCTATTCTCACGCCCTTTTGAACCGCTCGTTTTAGATCGTCCACGTGTCTTAGCGTGTTGGACATTCACCCACGCAAGCACGGGTGGGACCGGCATCTGTTGGCACACTTTTTGAGGTCAACATGTTCCACTTGAATTATCTGACCAGTTCAATTCGATTTTAACAACCATACATAGCTCACCATTATCATTTGGTGGCTTCATTGTAATAACTCAACGTCTCAAGGGTCAACCTAATTTTTCTCCTAACGAAAGTGCACCAGCACCGTACACCCTCTAAATAGAACCAGATTTTTAATAAATTTTAATAAAAAATGATAAAATATGTGATTAAAAAGTTATGAGATTCATGAAATATATAATTAAATTAAATTGTTAACTTTGACTTAAATTAAAATTTAGATTTTAATCAGTACTAGAAACAATCTAATTCACAAGAATCATGTTATATGTATAAATATAGTTGACAATATTGATCGAAAATATCCTACTTGATATCATTGTATTTATCCATTTAATTTAATTTTTTTTTATATCACAAGCTTGAATTTTGACAACAAGTTGTTATCCATTATTTTATATTTTACTAGATTATTTTTTTTATACTACTTATTTTCAATCAGATATTCTTTATTAAAATAATATTGTATGCAAATCAATTTTTTTTTTAATCAAACATTTTTTATCAACCTATTATTTCATTAAGCATCATTCAAAATTAAAGGGCTGGAACGCATTATTCAATTAACGAGCCCAACTTACATCATCCTTTGTGCCTACGACTGTACCTTTCTTGCCAAAGTTTAGATTTTTTCCAGATCTGAATTCTGAACTTCAACAAAAAGTCAACACGAATTCCCCAACTCCCAAAATAGTTGTTTTCTTGAATTAGGGTTCTAGCATATTAAAGGGATCTAGTCTTTTCAAAATTTTCTATTTTTGCCGTGAAGTGGGTAAAAGGGTGCATATCCGAGCTGCCAATGCAATTTTGATTCATTGAAATTGTGCGTTCTTTGTGGGAATTGCGTTAAAGTTGAAGTCTTTGTGTGAACTCACCAATGTCTTGGGCAGGCCCAGAGGATATTTACCTCTCAACTTCTCTTGCCAGCTATCTTGACAGTAAGTTATTCTTGATTCTTTTTTTGCTTTATCTTTATAATCTAATTTGGAATGATAAATCTAATGTTCGTTTTGGTTATTTCTTGATATTTGAAGTCAAAATTTAGGATAATATTTTTATTTTGCTGATAAACTGTTCCTTTGGTTCCTGATGGAATCTTTTTCTCTAAGTTATAATGCAATTTGGGGTTTTTAGGGTTCATTTTGGAGATCTATACTCATGCCGCTGTCTTTCATTTGATATATTTGCAAGAATTTTTGTTTTTTATTTTCCTTTATTGTTTGTGTGAAAACTACTAGAAGAAAGTCAAACAGGGAAAGGAGATTCAACTCCATGTTCTGCAAATTGAACAATCAAATCAAAAAGAAAAACAATCAAATCAACACATTGAAATTTAGGTGGTTTGGCAATTCTGTATGACACAAAATAACCCGGCCGTCCCCTCTGCTCCATCAACTAGCCCTATTTACATAACTATACGAATAACCCAAACAAAACTCTGTTCGAAACAAAACTCTGTTCGATTTCATAGAGTGACGGCCTCATCACCGGAATCAAGTTTATGGTGTGAAATTATTACATATAACTTGAAGTCTTCTCGTTAAGAAAATTTTATTGCATGGAGTTAGACATGGTAAAATATATTAGCTTGTTCATTGGTAAAATGTTCAGTATTTATTGCGAGTAAATTTGGTTAAAGTTTACATTGGCTCAGATTGGAAGGTGCAACATTTTCTTTCTTACCCTTGATATTTCTCAGGGAAACTCCTTGTATTGCTGCGAGATGGACGGAAATTATTGGGGACTCTCCGGTCTTTCGATCAATTTGGTATTGATATTAACGTTTGTCGATATTAGTCGTTTGATTCGCCTATATTGTTTGTTATTCAGTGTCTGACTGAACTTCGATTATCAAATTTATAGCCAATGCTGTTCTAGAAGGTGCGTGCGAGCGCGTTATTGTTGGTGATCTTTACTGTGACATCCCATTAGGTCTATACATAATCCGTGGGGAAAACGTTGTGTTGATTGGCGAACTGGTATGTGTTTGTCTTGTTTTGGTAGTAACCTTCGTGAGTATTCTGCTTTCTTTGGGTAATTTTATTAATTGGACGTGATCGGTTAGGATCTGGAGAAAGAAGAACTTCCCCCACATATGACTCGCGTTTCTGTTGATGAGATAAAAAGGGTAAGAGTTCATGATGCTTTAATGGTTATTCATCCAAACACAAAGTATTTTATCCATGTCGTTTTCTATTTTCATCAGGCACAGAAAGCAGAAGAGGTGGCTTCTGATCTTAAGGGTACTATGAAAAAGCGGATGGATTTCCTTGATATGGATTAATGCGTATCTCAGTGATGTCAATTCTTGGAGGTGATGCTGAGCTTTCCGCAAATATTATTGCGGTTGCAGCATACTGGAAATATTTCTTGCTGGAATGTCATTTTGCATCTGTCTCTTTTCTTTTGCACTTCACAGTTCACTGTACCATCCAAAAATTTAGTTCTACAAGATAAAGAAATATATAATTAGTTCTTGTTTTGATTATGATTTGTGCTTGTCTTCTTCACTGATGCATAGAACTGAGGGAGACTATATGGGAAATCAAGTGGAGATCATTGTGGTACCAGTTTTAATCAAGTTTCGACAGTGAAGTTGAGATAATCTACTTGTTTTCTCCACCGAATATACAAGTTATCTTGCAGGAATATGAAGCATTTATATTGACTTATTAGTGTTTAATTGACATGTGTATTAAAGAATTTGGATTCACTGTTTAGGATTCAGTCATAGACGTCACTTAAATAGTGGTACGGAGTATCAAGTTCTATACTTTAATGTTTGTTAATTATTAACTTTTTTCTTATTTTAATTGTTTTAAGTGAAAAATTATTAAGAGATCAATTTGCCCCTTTATGATGTTCAAATTGTGGTAACACTTACTTTTTGTCAACTAACGAGTTTTTGAAGGAAAATCGTCGAAGTGTTCTTATTTAAAGGTTTATGATCATGCTGAACTTCTTTCAAGGGTTTGGGACCTCCAGTTGCAAATTTGCCTAGTGAGTCAAATAAAGGGCTCTTGTAAAAGTTGGAAGACATGAAAACTACGGTTAAAGGGTTCGAAAAAAAGGGTATTTGGTATTTGCATTTCAATTCAATGAAGATTCAACGCTTGAACCAATATATAAGATCTTTTATTCAGCGCATGCTCGGTAATGATTATGAGAATTGATTTTTTGATCATTAAAGAGAAAAATGAGTCTCATTTGTGAGTGAAAAGTCAAAAATGACTGATGAAATAGTGAAATAACTGTTAAAAATTGATTTTTTTTTAATTTTTTTGTGAAAAATTACTATTAAACGGACTCAAATTATGACACTCTAAATTTCAAATTACTCGATTCATGGTAATTCAGACTTGGAGTGGGGTTGAGAGTTTGTTAGTTCGCTAATTTTTTATTTGTTAGGTTCTACAAAATGTAATTTCTAGATTATTATTACTGTATAAAGTAAGAGACAATAAAACTCTCTCATGAATAATTGGTGAGTGGAGAATTTAGCTCTTGTTTTATTTTTAAAATTTATTTTTCTTCAAGTTTATTTTAATTATATATTTTTTTGATAAAATAATTG